GAACAGTAACATAGCTGTGATTTTTGGTATTTAAAACACTGGTTTTAAATATTTTGGCTTGTTGCAGGTATATTTCATATAGCAAGACATTTAATGTATAGCAGTAATGAACAGTGAAGTATTTTATCTTCTAAATAATTCCTGTTTTTATTTATCATTAACAAAACAATCCTAAATGGCAACCCGCAATTGTGAAAAAAAAAATATTACTTTATATTATAGGATTTGAGAATGCAGCCTTTATCAGAACTCTATTTTTGTTCAGCTTTTCTATTCACATAGATAAATATTGGTTGGGAAAACTTGGTGTGTAATGTGTAGTGCTGCACACCTAACTTATGGTGCCAAATAAGCACATCCTAATGCTTGCTGCTGATGCAAACACATTAAAGGTACTTTGCAGGAAATCCTTGCACCATGGGATTAATATCCAAATGCTGTTTGTGCACTCATTCATTGCTAAAAGTTTTGGGGGAAAATTTTTTTTTTTCCAGTAATGATGAGGTAAAGGTATTTGTGGAAAATACTCACCTGGCATCTTACATCTGAAGTAAGGAATGATGTACTGTTTTTTCTCATAGATGAAATACACAGGAACCTAGTGGGCCAACTGAGATGAGATGACTATTCAGTGGCTAACTTGGGTTAGGAAGAAAATTAGGTATTTTCTCCAAATATTCACTGGTATTTTGCCACCTTATTTCTCATCTGTTCCACAAAGAACCACCAAGAAAGGAAATCAGTTCACCTGATAACTGTATAGTTTCTCACTAACTATAACTGGCTTGGTTATGGACTAAAACTTGATTGACAGATTTGAATTTGCCTAATATGACTATTTTTAATATGGATGTGTATATGTTCTATTCAGCACAAGGAAATAAAAGTTTTAGTTGAGGATTCAGCACTAAAATCCTTGAAATCACTTCTCATTTCATAAGTGACATGTTTAATGCAAGTAATATGTGGAAATATTTGGGGTCAAAGTTTTCCTGCATTGGTATGGAAGACAAACAGGTAGTTTGGTGGCTAAAAAGTATTTTTTTTAAGAAGCTATGATAGCCAGTCTTTGTGAACATACAAAGTTTCCATAAAGAGAAAAAACCATGTTCAGTGACTGTTAACGTGTTTATCTGTATCTAAAAGGAACATGTTTTCTTCAGGGAAGGAGAAAATGTGGCATAGCCTAAGCATAATTTTAAAAATTGTTTTTTTATTTACCAGTATGAGTTTTGGAATAGTTTAGAAATAATACTGGTAATAACCATACTTGCAGTCAGTTTTAATAGTGCACAAGCTAGGCACAGTGGCTTGCTTCTCTAATTCCAGCTACTTGGGAGGCTGGGACAGGAGGATGGCTTGAGCCCAGGAGTCCAGGCTGCAGAGAGCTATCATTGCGCCACTGTAGTCAGTGGCCTGGACAACAAAGTGAGACCCTGCCTCTTTAAAAAAAAAAAAAATGCATAAA